ACAGATGTTGGCGGGGATGCGGAGAAAGGGGAACCCTCCTACACTGTTGGTGGGAATGCAAGCTGGTGCAGCCACTCTGGAAAACTGTATGGAGTTTCCTCAAAAAGTTGAAAATAGAGCTACCCTACGATCCAGCAATTGCACTACTGGGTATTTACCCCAAAGATACAAATGTAGGGATCCGAAGGGGCACGTGCAGCTCAATGTTTATAGCAGCAATGTCCACAATAGCCAAACTGTGGAAAGAGCCCAGATGTCCATCGACGGATGAATGGATAAAGAAGATGTGGTATATATATACAATGGAATATTATGCAGCCATCAAAAAAATGAAATCTTGCCATTTGCAATGACATGGATGGAACTAGAGGGTATTTTGTTAAGCGAAATAAGTCAATCAGAGAAAGACAATTATCATAGGCTCTCACTGATACGTGGAATTTAAGAAACACAACAGAGGATCATAGGGGAAGAGAGGAAAAAATAAAACAAGATGAAACCAGAGAGGGAGACAAACCATAAGAGACTCTTAATCATAGGAAACAAACTGAGGGTTGTTGGAGGGGAGGGACACGGAGGGAAGCGGTAACTGGGTGATGGGTATTAAGGAGGGCACGCGATGTAATGAGCACTGGGTGTTATATAAGACTGATGAATCACAGACCTGTACCTCTGAAACCAATAATACATTATATGTTAATTAATTGAATTTAAATTGAGAAGCATACATTTGAAAAAAAAAATCCTGCAAGGACACAGGCTGTGGGAGTGTGTGTGTGCGCACGTGTGTGTGTGTTGGGGAGTTTGAGGGTGATTTCTCCTTCTTACCTTAGTTGCTTCTATAGTGTTTGAAAAACTTCTAATTTCGAACCTATGAGTATGTAGAGCTGTCACAGGAATGCGGGGCGAGGAGAGGCTTACCAGCTCTCCTCCCTGTCCAGCAGGGCGTGGTAGGACGCCACGTCCCTCTGCAGCTGGGCCTTGCGCGCCCGCAGATGCTCGCGAGCCTCCTGCTGCTGCCCGGCCTCCCAGCGCATCTCCCTGAGCTCCGCCTCCAGCCTGCTGACCACAGCGCCCAGGCTCTGGAGCTCGATGTCGTGCCAGTGCTTGGCGTCGTGCAACGTGTTCTCCAGGCCTCGTTTCTGCCAAAGAGAGAACGCAGTCCACACCCGAGGCCGCAGGCAGGGCCCTCGAAGAGGGAGGTGGGCACAGCTGTGGGAAGTGCTGCGCTGGGCCTGGGCTGTCCCTTACTCCAAGGACAATGGCCTCGCTGGCTTACGGGGGGAATGATGAATCCTCCTCCGGAGGCCAGACTCTTGTTTAGTCTAATTCACTGATGTTTCTGATGAGGGGGCCCGGGGAGGAAGATAGAGAAAAGGGGAAGAAGGCGAGGCAGAAAGATGAAGTATACTGATGAGAGAGAATGAGTGAGAAAGATAATGTGAGAAAAAAATGAGAGTGAGAAATTGACATACACACAAGGGGAGGCAGTTTGCAGGTGTTTTTTTTTCAAACAAATCTTGCTCTCTGAACTGCCTCTGGGCCTTTTTGCTCATGATTTCTCACTCCCTGGGGGGTCCTTTCCTCCTCCACTGCTGAAACCCCTTCCATCATTCAGTTAAAATGCCTTCTCCTCCAGCACGCTTGCCCAGATTGCCAGAGTTAGAATGAATGTCTCTCTGGCCTATATACACTCAGCAGGTTTTTCTTTAGTGTGTTAGTAGCACACCTTGGCTAATGCCTCTTCCCCTTGCCGCCCCTTCCCTGTGGGCTCCCCACTGCCCCGTCCTGAGCCCGTTTCTCTCTGAGCCATTTTTCCTGCGCCTACGTTGGTTGGTCTCTGCCACCCTCATGATTTTAGTTGTCTCTCTCCCGGTGACTCTTGCATTGATGTTTCCAGGACAGACCTCTCCCCCTGAGCATAAACCTGCTACTGAATTTCTTCCTGGAAATGTAGACAGTCCAAGGGCACCTCAAATCAATGTGTCCACAATGGAGCCACTGGCTTCTTTCGGAACCTGTTTGCCTCTCCTATCTGTGCTTCCGCTGGTGAGTTCGCATGGACTAGAAACCTGGCAAAGGCATGTCCCTCATCTTCCTCCCCTCCCTGATTCAATCACCATGGAGTCCTGCCTCTTATATATTCTGGAAAGTTTTCACATTTATGCCCTCTCTCCCCCAGGCACCGGTGCCCAGGATGGATGCTTATCACTGCTACCCTGGGGTAACCTCAGTAGCTTGTAGCTCATCTCTTGGTCTCTAGTTCCTCCTGCCCCTGCATTCTCCACATAGCAGCCACTGTGCTCTGTCCAAAGTCCGAATCTGGATTTGTATCTCCCCTTCCTTCTCACCTGGATCATTCCTACTCATCCCCAAGTGCAAGCTTAGGGGTCACCTCCCCCAGGAAGACTTCCTTGATTGTCTCTTGCCCTTTCCCCCACCAGGCCGGGTTAGGGGCCCCTCCTTTGGGTTTCCATGGCTGCCCAAGTACATGCATGCCCTTAAACTTGTAATAGTGGGCTGAGCTTCTTAGGGGCATGTTTCCTCTACTAGACGGTGAACTCTTGAGAGCAGAAAGGAAGTTTCTGTAACTCCCATGATAAGACAGGGGCTGGCACAGAGTAGGTGCTCAAACGGGTGTGTTGCCAGGATGACAGCACTTGTATTATGGTTACACTTATTGCCCTACCTGTCTCCCCATTAGACTGGAAACCTCCTCTTCCCATATAGCAAGCCTTGCAGACTGTAGGGCTGACCAATAAACACCTTTAAAAAACTGTGTGCATCTATCTTTAACATTTTTTAATAGTTGTCATCATGGTGCACCTATAATTTAGCATCCGGCTTTTTTATATGACACATAACAACAGATAAGTATCTTTTCAAATTGGAGTAAAATCTCAATAATACAACTTTCTGTACCCTGCCCCCTAAGAGGAGATTTTTCATACCCTTTTGATTACTGTGGTTGAAATGGAAGATTCTTGGTCAGGATGCCATCTTGAATCATGGCTCCTGTGAAGCAGGGGCCACCATATCATCTTATTTAAACCATCTTAATTCCATAGGATATAAGAATATTGAGTCAGATTCCCATCCTAGGTATATTTACAGGTGGCAAAAAATGTGACTAGTAGAAAAAAAATCTGGATCAGTATCTGGTCTAGGGTTATTATTTTGGTGAGATCTGAAAACCCCTCTATGGCAATGAAGATGCAGAAATGGCCACCTGCACTTTGAGAATCACTTGTTCCAAACTCTCTGGGTTTTCCTCCTTTGTTCATCAGGAAATTGCTTGGTTTGTAGTGTTTAGTGTTGACATTGGACCTGTAACAGCTGTGATTTGGAAAAAACTTTCATGGAATCACGTTTGGATCATCTGTCTACAGTTTTTGCTCCATGTTCACAGGTGACTTCTCCATGTGGCCTGAGGTTTTCTTTGATGACTTAGGAACCATTGCCCAATGTAGGTTCGTGGAAATGCCTATCAGAGGTCCGCTGTCTCTTTTGTCCCATCCTCAGAGTCCCAGTCCAGCTTTCCCCGCTAAGTCCCTGACATCCTGGCCTGGTTCTCACAGAGACGCTTGGGCTCGAGTGATGGCAGCCAGGCCACTGCTGCCCGTCTCCCAGTTCCAGCCCCCACAGCAGCACAGCACAACACAACAATAAGCACACTTATTGCCCAGTTTCTGGAGATTGAATTGCTAAGCCCTCCAGAAAGTAAAAATAGTGACCTTATGTGATTTCTGGCCTTGAGTTCCATTCCTGATTTGAGCTGACGGAACACAGAGCTCAGTAGGCTTTAAGCACCATTACGGGTCCCTGGCTGCCAATACAAACAGTGCCTTGCTGGCAAAGGGGGCTGCAAGCGCCACCAGCTCGCCTGTCTGAGGTTTGTATGAGCTGCGGGGGCCCTGTGTGTGGGCAGTCTGCTCTGACCGAGGATAATAGGGATGGCTGGATGGACTGAGCTGTCCATATGAAAGCTGCAGAAAGGTGTGCTTCTTATTCCGGCTGTCTGGGCTCCTAACCTCGGCTGTAAGGCCCAGGGACCAGAGCTCTGATCTACCAGCTAGCAGGGGACAGAGGCAGCCCGTCCTGGGTCCCAAGCACAGCCAGCATGTCACTACTCCTAAGTCTTCTGGTTGGGGGTGTGAGTTTTCTTTCGATTGGTTCCAGCAGGCAGGACCATGGGGTTTAAGTGAGGTGATCAGATGATGCCAACTTGGGATTGCTATACCAGGGGTTATAATAATAATTTTACAATGATAACCAGTAATAGATACCATTTATTGACTGCTCACTCTGTGCCAGGCACTGTCCTAAGGGCTTGACCTGCATTGTTTCATCAATCATCCCCATGACTTTATGAGGTAAATTCTGTTCCATCCGGCAGCAGATCACATTTCCAAAGACAGCTGCAATCCCTGTCTCCATCCCACGTGTTCTTTCTCTAGGTGGCCTTGCCACTGCCTCATCAAGAGGTAGCGTTTCTTTCTCTTCTTGTGGGATCTGAGATGGCCCGTGCCTGCTAAGACCAACAGAGTTCTGTATAAGTGATATTCAGGGACTTGTAAGCCCAGGTGTTAAGAGGCCTGGTAGCTTCTGTGCAGGCGCTCTGAGGAAAGCCGGATGCCACATCAGAAGTCCGACTACATGACTGCCATGATTTGAGGAAGTCAGAGCTAGCCACCTGGACAGGCCCCATGGAGGGAGAAAAAGAGATGCACAGCTGAGGCCCCACACATGTGAGCGGAAGCCACCATTCTTGGATGGTCTGGCCCCAGCAGATGCCCAGCTGTCTCTGCCGGACTCCGCCTCAATTGAACACAATTTTACTGTTGTCTTAAGCCACCAACACAGCAGATACATATGATAACCCAAACAGATCCTCACTTCGCAAGTGAGAAAACAGAATCTTAGAGACGTCACTGCGCTAATGAGTAGGGGAGTCAAGATTCCAGATTCCAGAGTGAGTGCCAATCCCCAATTCCAGAAGCCCGCTGTGGTCTAGTAGAGAAATAGAGCCAGAAGGGCTCAGCCCCTCCACTTGTTACTCCCGTTCATGGGCAAACCCCTGAACCACAGTTTGCTCTGCTGCAAAATGGGATGTCAGTCCCAGCCCCCTGCACTTCTCAGTGTTTCTATGAAGGTCCAATGAGAGAATGCAGGTGAGCATGCTCTCATGACTATTAGCATCTCTTTGAAGAAATTACATTTTGGACACTCATCAAGTGCTTTGGGGACATGAAACAAATTAGACATGGTCTCTGCCCTGAAGAAGTTAATGTGATGTCAGTGGATGAGCTGATAGAACCACATGAACCACAGGGCTCTGAATGCAAATGGGTGGCAGGTGGAGAGGTCACCCCACCTGTGATCTAGGCTTTTCGTTGGGTGTAGCACTTGTGTATCTTCTACCTCACCTGTGCCAAGGGTGTGAGGACAGGTAGAGGTGGGCAGAGTTGGGGGGAGGGGTCTCCTTGCAGCCATGGGAAGAACATGTCCAGAGGCTCAAGTGTAGGAGAGCAAAGGGTGAGTTCTAGGCATTTCCCTTCCTGCAGAATCTGGGCTGGTCTGTGAATGAAGCCCAAGCACTGGGTGGTGCTGGAAGGTCTGGCGAAGGAAGGCTTTCTCTTTTACCCCCAGGCAATCTCAGGGGGGAGGGACACTGAAAATGCAGAAGAGAGGGGACAGTAGATAGAGGAATGTCCCAGATGGGGCAACAGTAGACAGGGCAAGTTTACTGAAGGGAGGAGAGAGTGGATAAAACTTCAGAGACATTTTGAGGCTGGAAACAGAAGACAGAAGATCTCCTGTTCGGGGACTTAAACCTTACCTGCAGAATGGTGCAGGTGACAGCGTCTGCGAAGGACAGAGGTGAGGGCAGGCTGGCGCTCGCTGAGAACGGAGGCTGCTGGGAGCAACTGCTCTGGGAGCACAGTACCCTCTGCCGTGTTCAGTCATTTGGTGGAACCCAATCTGGTCATGAGCTTTTAGAGGACGGGAACCATCCACTTCATGTTTACGTCCCTGGGACCTACCTCACAGAGGGCTTAGCACACAGTAGGCAGCCAGTATATGTGTGGCTAAGTAATGCGCCACCTCCATCCAGGTGCAATTCATCCAGGCTTTTCTGATGATGTAGGGTTGAGTATATGCCCAATATTTTGCCTGGCACTTTTTTTTTTAAGATTTTATTTATTTATTTGACAAAGAGAGTGAGAGAGCACAAGCAGGGGGAGCAGGAGAGGGAGAGGGAAAAGCAGGCTCCCCACTGAGCAGGGAGCCTGATGCGGGGCTCGATCCCAGGACCCTGAGATCATGACCTGAGTCGAAGGCAGACGCTTAACTGACTGAGCCACCCAGGCATCCCTGCCTGGCACTTTTTATCACTGGAAGAAGGCAATTTTGGCAGCCACAAGGACATCTGGGGAATAAATGGCAGCCCCTTAACCAGGCTTAAAGGGACTTGGGCAAAAGGCAGCACTCCTAGTATTAGGATCAAGGGTTATGGCAGGTGAATAAAACTGATGAGCATAATATTCACATAACTTAGTAAATAATGCAGTGTCTTTCAGACAATTTTTAAGCTAAAGTAGCATTGTTTTAGGCTGTAGTTTCTCGATTTTTCTCACCTCAGATCCTTTCCTCACATCTCCTCGCACTGACCCTGATCCCATCACAGAATGTAGCAACGAGAAGTGTATCATGTTGTGCTATGCTGTGGCAAGACGAACATCTCCCTGAGCTGACTGGGCAGCTTGTGACCTTGTTGGTCAGAGGACAATGGACCCAAGGGAACTGAAGACACGTGAGGAGGGGAACTGGGGGTGATGGAATGATCTTGGCCACGGGCACTGAAAACATTGTTTCTGAGGGAACCAACTAGAATAAATCCTTGAGCTGACTTGATGGTAGACTAAGACTGCATTGGGAGGTGGGGCTGCTGGTTTGGTGATGGAACAGATTTGGGTGGCAAAATTGAGATGAGGAGGGTATATGGGGAGTGGTAGAAGGGGCACTAGTGATAGTATTGGAACTTTCCCAAGGCTTGAAGCTGATGGGAGACAGGGGCTCCTTGGGCCTCAGTGGAGTCCAGACCCACCTCAGCTGCACAAGGATTACATGAACCATCCCTTCAGGCACTCCAGTGTGGACAACACACTTGTGGTTCAAATCAGTACACATGGCCCCCGCAGGGGGCATCGAGCAGGAGCTATGGGCTTGGTACCCTAATAACTTCAGTTGACCCCAGAGAGCAGAGGGTGAATTGCTAAATTATTAATAATTATTTTAATCACTACTAATAATAAATAATGCAGGAGACCTTCCCACAAACCCCAGTGAGTCTGAGGAGCCTCCTAGTCTTAGTTCGGGGTTCCCTAGAAGCAGAGCCTAAGGCAGGGATCCTGGTACATGTAAATAATTAAGGGGTTGCTCTCAAGAAAAGGGGAGCAAGGAAAGCAGGATAGGGCAGAGGAAGGCGCTAAGCCAGGAGGAGTCTCCATTGGAATCTGGTACAGCCTGATCCCACAGAGAGCCAGCGAGTGTGAATTACAGGGTGCAACCCATTCCACTCGGAAGCAAGCGGGCTGGGCTCTTAAACCCCACCTCAGCTAGTCATTGGCTGAGGGCTAGAGGAGGCGGGCCTAACGCCCAGGCCAGGTGTCCACTGTTTGGCTGAGGCCCATTCTCTGGACAAGTGGGGCATCTAGGGGTGTAAGCAGTCGACACTCACAGCGGTGGCCTGGTGTCGGGTATTTCGGTGGGGCACTAACAGCGTTCACTATACTTGTGGTTCGGTATCAGCTGACCCTTTCCGGCCTCAAGACTCAACATGCTGGGAGGTGGGAATCTCTTGCGAACTCCAACCCAGATGACTACAGCTCAACAGCTGAGAGTTAAAATTGACATAAGAAATGCCGGGGCTCTCCCAGCCCACTCACCAGGGCCCGCAAGGATTCCGTCTCGGCCTGGAGGCTCTGGACCCGGCACGAAGTGTTGTGCAGCTCCAGCCTGAGGGCAGCGGCCAGCTTGTCTTCCTGCGTCTGCGCCCGGCGGGCCACCTCTGCCTGTTGCTGTGGAGGGCCAGGTCTCCGCGTGAGCAGGGGAGCGTGGACAGCCCGAACCCCGCCTTCCCTCTCGCCCTCCCCAGGGACCGCTCCACGGCCTCTGACTCAGAGCAAACAACTGGCAGATGGAAAGATCCCTTTTTCCACAGGCGCCCCCACCGATTTGTATCCAAGCGTTTATTTAGTTTGAACACAGAGTACATGCAAGTAGAATACAATTCAAAAGCTTTTTCTGAAGGATTTATAGAAGAAAGTCTCCTTCTGTCCCATGCTTTAATTACCCAGTTCTTCTGTTTCCAGTTTCTTATACCTCTTTCCAGAAATATTTCATATATTTATAAGTAAATATATATGATCATCCTCTCCTTGCCTTGGTACTTAATATATCTTAGAAAATATTCTCTACCAGTATATATAGATCAGTGACATTCTTTTCAATGGCTCCATAATACTGCCTTGTTTGGAAGTACCGTAATTATTCAGAAGCCCTGCACTGATGCGCGCTTAGATTGTTTCCAGTCTTCGCCTGTTACAAACAATGGTGTAAAGAATAACCCTACAACCCTCACTTTCCACACACGGGAGTATCTCTGAGGGGTAAATCCCTGCAGCGGGACTGCTGAGTCAAAGGGTATGCATTTGCCATTTTGATGGATGTTGCCAAATTGCCTTTCGGAGAACTTGTAACCGGTTCCAACGCTGTCAGCCCGTGCTGATTGCCCCACACCTTCTTCAAATGAGGAACTATCCAAGTTGGTCTGATAGTCCCCGTTTTCTTGTAAAAACCAGTCTGGCCACAACTGTGAACACCAGGGGAAGGTCTGTGTTTCGCAATTTCTCCCTCAGCAAGGACATAGTCTGATTCTTTCCCATACTTTCAGGGGATAGGTCATTGCTACTCTTTCTCTCTGCTGGAGGAAAGGGGAAAAACTAGAGATCACCTTCATTCATCTTTGGTACATTCTGACGCATGTCTCTAAGCCAGTGATACGGGAGAAAAAAACCCCTGTTTTCTCTCCTAGTTTACTGGCTGTCTGGATTGACCATTTTTACTACATATGAATACTTATTTATAGGGTTATGCAAAAATAGTCCAATTTAACTAAGAAAACCCAGGTCAAAGGGCTCATATCTCAGGTGTAGTTCTTCCTGTGTGAGAGCTAGAAAGAGGTCAACAAAAATGTCCATTAAAAGTCTGGGATCAGCTAAAGGAGAATGGAAGCTGTGGGCCCAGCTCAGACTGGTCAGTCCATGGCTGTGTGTCCCTGGACCATCATTCAGCCTCTCTGAGCCCCAGTCCCTGTCCACAGAAAGCAAATGACAGCGAGTAGAGTACCTATGAGGCTTCCATTAGGTTATACATGCGGAAACTTTTAGAACCTTAAACTTACACAAATAGTGACTGCATATGTTTTTCTATACGTAAAAAGTAATATTAGCCAAAAATGAGTTTGTAAAAGCCACTGTAGGTTGGATACTACTACTGATAACTAATACACGTTAAGCACTTATTTTGTGCCAAGTCCATTATTTCAGTTAATCTTCACGACTCTATGAAGCAAGTGTCATTGTTACTCTTATTTTACGTGAGGAAACCGAGGCAGAGAGACTGAATTATTTACTCAAGATCGTATGGCTTATAAGGGACAGAGCTGGACTCCCTGCCGCGGCTGACGCCAGAACTGTGCTCTCAACCAGGTTTGAAAGCCGCTGCTTCTGCCAATCCATCAAGACCCCCAAAAGTGGAGCTGTCTTCTCCAAAGTGAAGGTGGACCCCTCTCAAACTTCCTCGTGGTCTGTCAAGTCCTGCTGTGATGGGTCGCCCCGTTTCTCTCCCTGTCTTTGGGGTTGGGACTTGGCCCGGTGGGCTGTGTGGGTGGCTGGGCGGTGGGCGGGCCGGGTTCCGGCAGACAGACGGAGCTGGGAGGTGCAGGTGCAGGGGGTCAGCCGGCAGCTGGAGCCCGCTCCTGAGAGCTCTTGAGAGCAGAGGGTTAAATTTTCAGGAAGTTTGTAAGCTGGTCAGTAAACACAGCTATTATTAAAAATTAAATTATATCCACTTACAATTAAGTTATGTTAAAATGGTAACAAATACTCCAAACACATCACTTGCTAATTTATTTACATTTTATCATTATCTGTGCTATCAAAGTTATTTATATCGATGGTAGCTGTGTGGTAGAAATGACATTTAATGCTGAGCTTCTGAGCATCTCTTCCAAACTCTGTGCTTATTTACCTCAACTTAGGAGTTTGAAATCAGCTGTGGTGAGAGTTATTTACCTCATGGAAGTTGGCAAACACTACAAATCAGGGATTGAATTGTTGTTTTGCTGACTGTCTAGACTTAAAGGGATGCAGAAAATGTTAATAAAGCAGATTAAACTTAAAATGGGTCATGTCTATAGCTGTCGCATCATGAATAGCAAAAAAATTAGAGGGAATATCTTTCCAGTATTTACAAACCATTATCTGATTTAAAAGAAGTTACTCATATCATTGATGAAAGGACTCATTAAGGTTAATGGAAATATCAACCAAAATTCATATCAGAGATATCCTCATTTATCATTGATGTGACTTTTTGCTTAATTGGATATTAATAATCGAGCATATTTTGTAATCTGATTTTGTGACATTATTGTCGATGACAGAATTATAAAAACAGTTGGCAGATTTTGCAAGAAATAGCTAGTCACACTGAAAGTATAGGTGCAAACGGAAAAGCAAAGTACGTATTTTATCCTAAAATTTATGTTATCTCTAAAATTATATAAAGAAAACATCAACAGAAACTTCTATGTTCCTTTACGTGGTATTGTGAATCTGACCGGCACATAAATACACAGGCTTACATTTGTCCTCGGAGAGCAGATATGAAACATACCAGCACGCCCTGGGTAAGAAGCGGGCACGAGTGGAAGTCAAGTCCCACTGAAGGCAAATTTCAAAGCCTAGGTAGGTGGGTTGGGGTAAATCCACTGGCCAAGGCTATCACCACAGTTCCCCAGATGATCTGCCCTCCTCTCAACCCAGACAATGAGTGGTCTGTATTCAGAGGTACGCACTGGTCTCTGGGGGGATGAATGCTCTATCGGAGTGTTTCCCAAACATTCGACAAGCAGCATGGTTTTTCACATATATGAATACTGACTCAAACAATTTTTATTTAAATTGATTCACTTTTTCTTTGTAGATAAATGTGTTTAAAATGGAAACTGTAGATAAGGTCTCAAATTTTATGTGCATCAGGATCATCCAGGGAGCTTGTGAAAATGCAGGTTCTGGTTCAGGAGATCTGAGTGGGCCCAGGAATCTGCATTTAAAACTCCCATGTGATGCCTGGTCCATGGGAACAAAGTTCTAGATTGCTACAGAAACCAATAAAACTGTAAAACTGTATCACTGGTCATAGACAACAAATAGCTGAAAAATTAATAAAATTAAAATAAACCAATGTTATTATATTTGAGCAAATGCTGCCCACCATGTTGCTGAGTCCCAAAGCCTGCTTTCTCTTTGTTGAAACATGAGACTGATGAGTATAAGAGAAGTGTTAATGACCTACTGGCACCAAATGGACTCTTTCTTATATAGTTTAATTAAGATTGAAAGAGAAAAAAATGAATTTGATCACTATGAGATTCAGTGTCATTTTATATCATGCCCAATACCTTCTCAAATCAGCTTACAAGTGATACTTGCCTTTCATCTGGGGACAGTCAACTGCTTTAACTCACCTAAATGTATTACCTGCTCTTCTCCAATGGCTTTTTAGAGTTATGCTTTCTGATTAATAATTACTTCTATTTCCATTTCAACCCAATGCCTTCAGGATTTCTCCTCACAGACCATACAGCAGGTATGTCATTCTAGACCCTGAGGATAGGAAGGTAGGACTGTGTTTGTTGCTCAGTGCAGTCGCTAGGATGTGTAATGAGATTCAAATATGTTGGTCCCCAGGCTTTCAAGCCAGCCTGAAATCTTGGCTCTGCTGTGCAGGGGCTAGGCTGCCGTGTTTGCACTCCATCTATATTTCTGGGACAGGAGAGCATATTGACACTTTGAAATAGGGTAAAAAATTTTGAATAAAAAAATTTAAATTAAGTGCACATGGAAGATGGATGGGAGAGAAGCAAAGCAGCTTGCTTTGGAGTAAGTCGGAGGAAGTATTTGAGAGTCCCCACATGGAGGGGGAAAAGGGCCATCTCCAAACCCATCCCTCTGCTATGCAGGGGTGTTCTTAGCAGAACATGTGTCCAAGATGAGTGCTGAGAGGCTGAAATGTGTACTCTGCCTTTCTCCAGCAGTTGCTGTGTGGATTTCAGCCAGTCTGCTCAAGCTCTCTGTTTTGGCAGCTGGTGAACAAGAGCTTTACAAGAGCCTTGTTCTGCTGCCGAGTACAGCTGACTGCCTTGCTCTGCAGCCTCTTAGACCTCACAGGATCACACTAATCTCATGGTGTTCACTATCATGGAAAAAGGGAAAGCAGTGGATTCCTTGGGGATACAGGGGTTCCCCGTCTTGTATCACAGAGGAATCTTATCCCACAGGGAGGGCACAGAATCATGGTTTGGGAAGATCATGACAAAGGTCTGGCCTAACCTTCTGGACCCTCAAGACAAAGGCCTCTCAACCTCACATTCCATGAGACACTGAATCAAGACTCCCCCGCACTCCATGTGATCTGTCCAGGACAACCTAGCTGTTCAGAGTGATGATTCTGGAGTCAGAAAGTGTGGTCTGAATCTCAGTTTCACCACTTTGGAACCGTGTGTTCTTGGGGAAGTGACTAACCTCTCTGTGCCTTAGTCCCCTCCTCTATGAAATGGATAAGATCACAATACCTAACTCCTGGTGGGAAGATGAAAGGAGAACAGGCCTGTCAGGGGCTTAGAGCCTGGTCTGGGCACTTGGTACACGCTTACTAAATGCTCTGCTGGAGCTGTTCTCAAGCATGTTGTCTTCTGCCTTGGAGAAGAATGGTCTTTCTCTCCGTTTCCTGCCACCTGCACTCAGCCAAACTCGCACTAGATTATAGGTAACTTGTGTGCGGGGGACAACTTCTTCCTGATGCCTCTGTCTGCCCTGGGGACCTAACATGGTGCTTTACACCTCGGGCACGCCCAACACATTTACTGAAGGTCCACAGTGTGTCCTAGGCACATGTTAGGGACTATGGAAATGGAGGGTCCACCAGCAATGGAATGAAATCTCACCTCCTTTTCATTAGGAGGATTAGCTATCAGTATTATAATGACCATGGGGTATCATATAAATGTTATTTAGCTAAGGATAGCTGTGGACAAGCAGCGTCCACACCCCTGACCTACTCGAGCCAGACGTAGGATTTATTTGGGAGAAGGCTGGATGCCATCTGGTTTCACCTGAGACACGAGTTCTCCTTAGTGGGAACTAAAAAGAAGTACATGTCTCACTCGGTGGAACTTCAGTGTTGGCAGGAGGGCTGGCCTGGTGAGGGTAAGCCAAGTGTCTCCTTGAATTGATTGACACAAGAACTGCCTGGCCATTGAAGCGGCTCACAAAAGGCTATGGGACCAATTCCCAGCCTCAGCGGAAGCTGCCCAAGGACACACCGAGGGACACCTGGCTTTGCAGACTTGCTGCCCCTCGGTCATAAGGAAGGGTACACTGCTGAAGAAGGTGGCGGAACAGGCTCAGCAGTGAGTGTGGTTCCAAAGAGAAAAATATGTTTTTCTTCTTAAGGTATTATTGAAGAAGTTTAAACGATAGTATTTTTCTTCTGGTTCATGGAGATCATCCCATTCTGAAGAAGCGACTCCTCTGCTCTGTCTCTTCTCAGAGACTGATAAGTGTTGAACGCAAACCATACTACTTTAATTTCTCAGGGATTTGGGTTATTTTATCTTTGCAAGTCTCTTATTTTGGAAGTAAGGTCCCTACCCTTTCCATGGGAAAGAAATACCATTGAGAAATACCAAAGATAGCTT